CATAGGATTTGCATGCAGTACAACAGTTGGAATTACACAACACAGATAAATACCACCATGCTACTAAAAAAAAAGATAAATACCACCATGGTAAAGTTATTCACTTTCAGACAAGATCAATCCGTCCCCTTTTTATTTTGTTGCTATGTATCAGCAATGTCAATCATCTACTATGGGTATGCGACCATGGTGGGTGGACGGCTGATAGTCGATAGATCGGTCTCACTCCTCCTGCCTCTCCTGCCCCGGCAGCAAGTCGGCGTAGATCCCGCTGATCTTCCGCTGGCTCATGAGCATCAGCCTGTTGGGCTTTTTGCCCCCATTCTCCTCAGTCATCTGGGCAGGATGATCACGCGCGGCCGGGGGAATCACCGGCGGGTACGGGTACGCCCTGGCGGTGCCCGGGCCGGCGTAGCGCGGCCCTGGGGATGTCAGCACCTTCTGGTCCCCGGTGAAGCGAATCGCGTGACCTGGACAAGAAAATCGAGGGCATGTTTCGTGAGATCCGGACCCCATCGGCCATGCACACGTGCGCGATCTAGGTGGGTAGCTTAGGGAGCGGGCGTACCTGATGGTGCAGCGTGGGGGAAGGCGCACTTGTCCCCAAAATGGCAGGTGCCCGTGTCCCTGAACTTGAAGCACACCTTGCCGCCGCCGTTGACAACCCTGCCGCCGCCGGCAACGGTGAAGCCGCCGACAGGGGGGACCGGCGGGCGAAGCTCGGCGCGGCCGTGCGCGAAGGTGCAACCGTCCTCGTACATGCAGCGGCCGGTGTCCTCGTACTTGTCGCAGAGCCTGGTTTTGAAGTACAGCTTCTCCGGCGGCGCCTCCATCTCCATGCGCGGCCCCTGCCCCTGCCCCTCCCCCTCCGCGTCCACCAGCACCACCGCCTCCACCGACCGCGGCGGCCTCGCCGTCGCCGAGGACAGGACGATGACGTCCTCCCCCGAGCGGCGTGTCGGGGCGCCGTTGAAGGCGTTGGCGGCGGCGTGGCTCTCCCCCTCCATCGCTAGTTGCTGGCCGGCGGACTAAACCCTAGGTTAGCGCAGCCGAGTAGAAAGATTTGACTGAGGAGGAGTGAGGAGGAGCAGGTGTGGAGAGGGACGCGAGATGGACAGATATTTATAACGAAGGAGGGGTTGGGTTTCTGGGGGTGCGCTGGCCTCCGCCGTCGGGATCGGGTTGGAAGCAATTAATCGCTTCCAATCTGTCCTTAGCCTGGCCCCATGTTTAAAATTTGGTCGAAATCTCCCAAAATTTTGACAATTTCGAGGGTGATCGAAATTTTTGCCTTTCGTTTAAAAAGATCGGATGATTTGAATTTCTATGTAAACAAGAACATGGATCAGTTTTATTTAATGTGTGTACTGGTATGACATTTTTCTTCACATCGTTAGGACCAGAGTTTGAATCATGTTGCTGAAACATTTTGTTTATTTTTGCAAATCCATTGAGGTTTTTGTTACCTAAGCTAGTGTCATGGGTGTTTCACCACCACCTCGGGGTAGAAAGAAAAAGGTTGTAGAGAGTCTGCTAAAGGAAAAAAAATACACTACCATGGAGTAGTTGTTAAGGTATTGCAGCACCCCAGAACGTAGAGTTAGAAGATTTGCCTTGGTCCTCGCCTTCGATGCTATTTGGTTGGTTGAACACCTTCAAATAGATGATTATCTCTCTTTCCAAATATTTCAGGCCGCTATAGTAAGGATATCAAAGAAGAGTTCCCCATGGTAGCCAGCTTTAGCGGAGATACCGAATCAATCGGGTTCCGATTCGGAGACCAGTCATGTTCCGATTCGGAGATGCCAAAAAAGTAATGCTAAAAGGACAGTAATCGATAATTCCATGTGGCTAAATGAAGCATTTCAAAGAGGAGCTTCCAACAATAGCCAAGTTTAACGAGATACCGAATCTATCTGATTCCAATTCCGACTCAGAGACCAGTCATGTTGGGATGTGTCCAATAAGTAATGCTAGTAGAAGATAATTCCATTCAACTATAGTAAAGATTTCGAAGAAGAGCTTCCCACGATAGCCAGCTTTAACAAGAGATGACAAGTCAATCGGACTCCGATGCAGAGAACAAGTGATGCACGTGTTCAACAAGTAATGCTAAAAAGACGGTAAAATATAATTTCATGCGACTATTTGTAGCATTTAAAAGAAGAGCTTCCCATGGTAGCCAACTTTAACAAGAGATGCCAAATCAATCTGATTCTGATTCCGACTCGAAGACCTATGATGTTGAGACATGTCTAATAAGTAAGTAATGCTAAAATGACAGTAGAAGATAATTCTAGGCAACTATATAGTAAATATTTCAAAGAAAAGCTTCCCATGGTAGCCTGCTTTAACAATAGATGCCAAATAAATCTGATTCTGGTTTAGACTTGAAGACCACTGATGTTGAGACGTGTCCAATAAGTAGCGCTAAAATGGCAGTAGAAAAATAATTCCAAGAAACTATAGTACATATTTCAAAGAATAGCTTCCCACGGTAGCCAGCTTTAGAAAGAGATGCCAAATAAATCCGACTTCGATTCGGAGAACAAGTGATGCTGAGACGTGTCCAACAAGTAATGCTAAAAGAACGGTAAAACATAATTCCATGTGACTATATGAAGCATTTCAAAGAAGGGCTTCCCATGGTAGCAAGCTTTAACAAGACATACCAAATCAATCTTATTATGTTTCCGACTCTGAGCCCAGTGATGTTGAGACGTGTCTAATAAGTAAGTAATGCTAAAATGCAAGTAGAGTTATTTCCAGGGAACTATAGTAAATATTTCAAAGAAGTGCTTCCCAAAGTAGCCAACTTAAAAAGAGATGCCGAATCAATTTGATCGACTTCAACTCAGAGACCAGTACGTGTCAAATAAGTAACACTAAAATGACAATAGAAGATAACTCCAGACAACTATATTAAATATTTCAAAGATGGGATTCCCATGATAGACAACTTTAATAAGAGATGCCAAATCAACCCGACACCGATTCCGAAAACAAGTATGCAGAGACATGTCCAACAAGTAATGCTAAAAGTACGGTAAAAGATAATTCTATGCAACTATACGAAGCATTTCAAAGAAGGGATTCTCATGGTAGCCACCTTTAACAAGACATGTCAAATCAATCTAATTCCGATTCCGACTCGAAGGCCAGTGATGTTGAGACGTGTCTAATAAGTCAATAGAGGTAAAATGACAGTAGAGGATAATTCCAGGCAACTATAGTAAATATTTCAAAGAGCTTCCCACGATAGCCAACTTTAACAAGAGATGACAAATCAATATGATTCTGATTCCAACTCGTAGACAAATGATGTTGAGACGTTTCCAATAAGTAATGCCAAAATAGCAGTAGAAAATAATTCCAGGCAACTATAATTAATATTTCAAAGAAGAGCTACACACGGTAGCTAGCTTTAACAAAGAGATGTCGAGTCAATCTAACTCAGATTAGGAGAACACGTGATCTTAGGACGTGTCCAACAAGTAATGCTAAAAGGACGATAAAAGATAATTCCATGCAACTATATGAAGCATTTCAAAGAAGAGCTTCCCATGGTAGCTAATTTTAACATGGCAGTAGATGACCTGTTGCGCCGGCACAAAGACCAATTGCAGCCAAGAAGCCGAGCAACCTATGAACAACATGCTTTATGAATGATCACAAAGGAGAAAAACTAAATGCAACGAGAAGTTAGGTGAACTACTTGAAGGATGTTTTTCCTGAATTGTCTGCAAATGATTATTTTCATATTGCGTTTGTATTTTCCTTGTATTTACTAATGATAGATAATGGTGAGCATTGCCTATGGATTTCCTTGGCGATACATGGGCAATTTGCTTGAGCGGGTGAACAGATTCTAAAATTCTCCATCATGGGTGTAGTATGTTATTTTTCATGCTCTGGCCTTCCTTCATTTCGAGGCCATGAAAGTAAATGTGATTTTAAATGGGGTTGTTACCAAACGAAAAAAACACAACATTGAACAGACAAACAGTCGCAAAGAGGATAGGGCAGGGCAACCCGGCAGTAGGGTTGATAGACATCCTGACCAGGCCCCCGACAAATGACCACAACCATCAGAATCACACATGCAGCACGAAGGCACGCATGCGTCTAACAAAACAACACACATGTAGACTCCATCGAACAGGCAACCTCAACAGCATACAACAGCAATGTTGACTGCCCTGGCTTTACCGTGAGGGCCCCTTTGGTTTTCTCCAATAGAGCATCTAACTCCTAGATGTAGTCGGAAAGTCCTACCCGATAACTTAAGAAGGTGTGCTGAGTACACCGACGGGTTTGATAGATAAGTCTCGTTTGGTAGACTAGCTTGCCTTGAGGACGAATTACGTCTGAGTCCGCCGTTCCCAACACACAATCCAACAAGTTTCAGACCAATGGCCAAATAAGTCATAGAGCCTGCTACTCGAGGGATGGGGTCTACAATTCATGGACTGAGGGCGCGCCCGAGGCCACCTCGTCTGCCGCCCGTTGCCCTTGTCTCGTGTTGTGCCATGTATTGCGTTGGTGGTGTTCGGGTATGCATGGTTGGGTGGACTGTCTGTCCTTGTTGTTTGTGTCTATTGTATCGAGGGTTGCTCGTTTGATTTATTTTTGGATGCTTTCCTACCTTTTCCCGCGCATCCACCGGTGCAAAGCATGAGAAGATCAGATAGCATGAAGGGTACTCACGAGCGAGGATATACCCCCTTATGTCGGGTACTCCAACATCTACCTTGTGCGTTGGTCGGTCAAAGACTAATTCAGCTATTGGCTTGTGCCGGGTCAAATTATTTTGGGCACATCTTGTGGGATGTTGCTCGGTCAGTGGATGCTTGTTGATTTTGGGGTCCAGTTTTTTGTTCGAGTGGCTTGGTAGAGGCGTCTGGTATGTATGTCCATGGACACACCCACTCATTACTGTGTACTTGTTACTTCCTTTGGTGATCTGGGAATGGAGCAGAAAGGATTCTCGCCTTTTTCCTTAGAGGTGACCCTGAGTTATCGAACCCATGAGAGGAAGGTGCCCTTTAAGCTAGGGTCTCAAACAAGCTTTTGCTAGAGAACTAAATTCCATCTTTCGACCGGATCGTAAATCAAGCTGACACTGAAAACACTTATAATAAAAATAGGCATGGGTGGTACCAGTTGTCTGGAGTCACTCAGGAACAACTGGCCCACAACCGCCCAAACACTGCCTTATTACAGAAAGGCATCACCCCCATAACGGTGGTAGGGGCGGTGCAACCTCCCGACCATGGTTCGAGTGGTCGCTAAGTCTGGGGCCGTACAACCGCCCTTCGACACCGGGTACCATGATAACCCACAAGTATAGGGGATTGCAACAGTTTTCGAGGGTACAGTATTCAACCGAAATTTATAGATTCGACATAAGGGGAGCCAAAGAATATTTGCGAGTATTAGTAGTTGAGTTGTCAATTCAACCACACCTGGAGATTAAATATATGCATCAAAGTGATTAGCAACACAGTAGTGTGATAGTTTTGATAGCAGTGATAATAGTAGCAGTAACGGTAACAGTGATAGCAATGATTTTGTAGCAAGTGTAATAGTAATAGCAGCAGTAGTAACTTAGCAAGAACAATATGTAGGAAATTTGTAGGCATTGGATCGGTGAATTCGTTGGATAATATTCATCATATAACAGTCATAACCTAGGGTGATACAAAACTAGCTCCAGTTCATATAATGTAGGCATGTATTCCGTAAATAGTCATACGTGCTTATGGAAAGAACTTGTATGGCATATTTTGTCCTACCCTCGTGGCAGCGGGTCCATAAGGAAACTAAGGGATATTAAGGCCTCCTTTTAATAGAGAACCGGAACAAAGCATTAACACATAGTGAATACATTAACTCCTCAAACTACCGTCATCACCGAAAAGTATCCTAATTATTGTCACACTGGGGTTTACGGATCATAACACGTAATAGGTGAATATGACTTGCAAGATTGGATCTAGAACATAGA